CGGGGGTCTCGACCATGCGCTTCGCGATGCGGTCCTTCACCGAGCCGCCGACAGACGTGTACTCCAACTTCCCCACTGTGTACATAAGGTGCGACGTAGTTGAATTAGTGAAGCGCAGGTCGACAGACAGAGCACGCACGAAGATTACATTCGAGCCCCTCCTGGCGGGCGATACGGTCTAGTCGGACGAGAGGAGTGTTACCAACTGCGCCGAGGGCGTCGTCGACGATGCGTTGTGAGGAGGGCATTGTTGATAAATGTGATCGAAAGAGGGAGAGTGCTGAGTCGAAAGCGAAAGATATGTGCGGTGAGGGGTGCAGTAAATTTACGGGAGAGGTATGGGCCGGCTTTATAGACGCGGTGGACTCGGACCCTGCGCTCAGGCTCGAATTCGGAGGCTGGAGCCCTGCGCCATCGCGCAATGTGACGCGACATGTCACACGTAACAGCTATGCGCGATCGTCGTACTGCCCAGCATCCTTTCTTGGGCTCCTCAGGTCGCGAATTGCTTCGTGTGATTGCAATTCAGATGATATTACAGAGCAAGCATATGACGATACACGTCCCTACGGAAGACGATCCAGCACATATGTACACATACAGCCGATTGCCCACCGGGTGTACTGGGCGCGATCAACGGGGACGGCCCTGCTTCAAGGCGTCGAGAAACATCGGGTACGGCCTCCCCATCCACGACATTAGCTCGGTGTGATCCTTGGGCGAGTCACCGGTGTTGGGGTGAATGAGAACTCTGGGAAGAGATATGATGGTCGTCACGTGATACTAAGAAGAAACGACGCACGAGCAGGGTCCACGGTTTACGGTGAGCCACGAGAAGAAAGCGCCAGTTTGGTGGGGGTTGAATGTGTTCACTTCGAACATCGCAACGGGGTGAGGGCCTTTTACGACTCAAGAGTAAACTTCAACAGAATGACGCAGAATGTAAGCAAGCTCACCAACAGGTTTATCCCACAACTTGTAAATGCGAAGCTGAAATAAACAGATGGAGCGCATAAGCAGGATATTGCAAGTATAGGTACCAGTCACTCACTTCTGGAAACTCCCTCCTGACGCGTTCGTGCAGCTCCTTAGCGTATTGGGATTCCGCGGCACTGTGCTGCATATAATAGACTAGGAGGCGGATCGGCCGACATGGCACACATCGTTACACGAGGTCAGTCGATGAGTTTGGTACGACTCACTATGAAAGTCAAACCCATTGTTAGTCGAAATTATGGGCTTCGGAAACTCGTCGTATGCGGCCGATCTAGGCCCAGGCGGATTGTACAGGGACTTTCCGTCCGCGTTAATGCTGGTGGGCAAAGGCTCAGCGTTTTCATAGCCAGCAAGAAGTGAGGGCCAGGACATGTTTCCAGCTGTCTGCGAGTAGATTGGGAATGCAAAGTTCAGACCAACTCGCAGCTATCTATACCACTCAGTAGGTGCCATGACAAAGCATTAGCAAAGCTGCTTACGCTCCCTATTTTAGTGTCGCTTCCCAAGCTTGTCTGTGGTGGCGCAGGGTTTCCAATAGTGCTGCTCCCGAAGACCGCATCGAAGGCTAACACAAGCGGCAAGGGAAGAGGCGATTGTGGCTGACCGATCATGTGAACGCGACCATCACGACGCGTCGAGTCGGCAGCGGCCAGGCTGGCTCCTTCTTCACTTCGACGCTGCGGATTTTACTGTTAGGACGCTGAGGGTCAATTCAACGTTACTCAATGTTCGCGTTGACGCTAATATTCTGACAGTCAAGTGCCGTTGGCCGACCCGCCATGTCATCAAGAGAAGCGGACAGAATTGCATCGGCACAGCAGACTCTAGACAGTAAGAGGGGCCCCTTTACGTTGTATATACGCTTCTTCTGAGCTGCGGAATCAGTCCTTCATGACATATCTCAGCTTTTGAATACGCAACTCGACAAAGAGACACTTGCGACGTGCGTCGGCATGATTGAAAGTGGTGTGAATCCAGAAGCGTTGGCGGTGAGTGCGACTAGCTTCCTAAGCGACCCCGCGTTGATAAAGACATCTAGGCGGTGATCCAGGAGTTGCGGAGGGAGAGCGAAGCAATAAAAGCACAGCCAACTAGTAACGGAAGATGATAACGAAGTACCGTATAGTGACTGTTCAGGAATGAGCAGCGTGGGGTTATATGTAGGCTGATGATGACATGGTAGTTCTTGATTATTACACTATTTGACTTCGCCAAGCAAGGAGCGGTAAAAGTCAGAGTGGTTACTGGCGGAGACGCAAGTGGCTCGTCAATGACCTGGAAAGTCGACGTAGTGACTATCCAGATGCTGCGCAGTATTTAATGGCCCTGAAGTTTTTTGGTAACAAGATACTTTTTGCCCGATTTACGGTGGCCTTGGAGGGTCCTGGAGTCAAGCATAAGAATGGCGATTGTCCGGGTTCTGTCGCCAGCCTCCTCCAAGTCAGAGTCAAGTTGAGGAGTAGAATTGCGGCTGATCACGAGACCGCGCGAGCGCCACATGGCGGAGACGAGAGGCAGCCTTGGAGACGCTCTAAGGCCAGTACAACTCATCCAGCGACCACCACGATGGCTTCAAAGGCTGCACACAAACGAGTACGCCACCCTCGACGACGATTGTTATGCGAATTCTGACACCAAAATCTTCTCAGCTTACCAAGGAATACATGACGATGCAGAGGGACCCGCCCCCGTTCGTGTGGGCCGTGCCGGAGGAGAAGAACATCTTGACCTGTAAGTACCCTTTTGACCATGACAATTGGTGTTGTCTGAAGCAGCGCGTACAGGGAATTACATTATCGTATGGTCCCCCTTTGCTTTGATCGCTCTTCGGAACTCACATACCGTTATCTTTGTCACCAGCGCGGCCCACCCGACTCTCCTTTCGCTGGCGGGGAGTACCACGGCGTCCTACTCTTCCCATCAGAATATCCGTTCAAGCCGCCGGGCATTAAGGTGCGTTGCTATGCATGATTGACGGGATCCGTGGAGATCAACATGTTGTGTCGTGGGCAGATGTTGACTCCTTCTGGCCGATTCCAGCCAGACAGAAGGATCTGCTTCTCCATGTCCGACTTCCATCCTGGCACTGTATGTTCTATGTCTCTTCAGCCGCATTGCACAATAGTTGATCAAATTTACATTTCAGTGGAATCCAGCGTGGAGCGTATCGACAATGTTCGTCATCGCGGACCATTCTCTTTGTTTTCCGGCTGATAAATCACTTGTCTGTTTGATAGATTAACTGGATTACTCTCCTTCATGCTCTCAGATGAGATGACGACGGGGTCGGTGACCAACACGGACATTGAAAAACGTACATATGCTGCGCGTAGTCATGCTTGGAATCTCACCCAGCGCAAGTTCAAGGAAGCATTCCCCGAGGTGAGTGTGACAAGTGCTGAATGATACTGTCAAGCCAGTCTACCGATGTTCCGTTGCCCTCCTGGCATTGTGACGTAGTCGCACATCCCCTGCAGTAAAGTGGATGCAAAATCTCGATAAACTGCACACATTGCAGCGGTCACAATAGCGGGGAGGGAGACTGCTTGTGTTGATTGTAGTAGTCAGTTCGGCGCTGACATCTTATTCCTATAGTATTGCACCTCGGCACTGCGCGATCTGCCAAATATGGGCGAGAAAGAGCGCGGTCCCCCATCTCAATCACAAATGCCATCTCCAGTCTCCACGACCACAACATCAACACCGACAGAGTCTATACTTCCTACTAGCACCACCACTATCGACCCCGCTGTTGTCTCACGTACGTCAAGCAGCGGCACTCTCACACCAGCCAACGCCGCTAACGGTGATGCACCGAAGGCGGCTAAAGGGTGGTCTGAAGTATGGCGACAGATGATCTGGGAGAAATGGAGATGGGGTGTTGTTCTCGCCCTGGCTCTCTTAGTCTCTAGGATGTCCTCCGGCTCCTGATCCTGAAGGGCTGGTTCTCTTGACATCATTAGGGTGGGCATACAAGAGAAATACCATAATTCGCGATGCTTGAGTGCTCCACAGGTTACTATTCATTCATTGCCTGTTTTCTCATGCAATCTCTCACACGGACGCTATATCTCATGCGGAGATTGTACCACACTCCTTGAATTATTCGTTTTTGGCCCTTTCATCGGTACTGTGAAAATTCCCAGTTCACTACGATTTAATCATCATTCAGTACTTGTGTCCTGTCTCATTAGGCTGTATTCAATAGTTTTGCAATAGGGAGGTCAACTCCTTTGGTTTGTAAGATGGGTGTGGTCTGGGATTGTTGTACTGTTTGATTAACATGTGAAGACTGCTTGGCTAGTATGCAGTGACAATGAAACGAGGTAAATATATTCATGGTGGTCATAGGCGGGAATGAGGTTGACCAACAAATCTTCATAGTGACGACATGGAAGTAAAACTTGTATATTCAACCGGTGAAGCTGTGAAGGACGAATCAGATCAAATTTGATGATCGCATCACAATTTCGGGGAGGCTGGACAGAGACTTCGGTCCAATTGCTTCTCAAGCCAGAAGCGTAGATTCCACTGCAAGCTCACTGGGAACCCGGAAAGCATGGCGAGTGACCCTTATAAGTGCGGGGGAGGTGCCACAACACTAGTACTGGCTTTAGGCGATTTACCGTCGGCAAAGGCGATTTCTAAGTTGTGCGCTAATGTTGGACGGCGGGGACGCGGGCAGGTCGGTCGTGGACCTGTCGAAGTCCAGTATGATGAGAGTTGGTAACATGGCAAATAGGAGCTGAACTGACACTAGTCACGGTGATGGCAGCCACCGCGGATTGACGATTGACAAATTCAAATTAGTCGGGTGGCTGGCGGTTGCAGATTTCGCCACGGCGTATACATACGAGTTTTCTTGTCTACTTGCAGCGCCTGTATTTTTGAGATGCTCCTAGAAAACGCTATCGCATCATCTTCGCCACCTCTCGTTTCACACCGCGCGGAAAGCATGATGGTCGCCACTGGATGGAAATTATTTTCCACTGGGACCGGACGCAATGCGTGCAATTCGAAGTGGAGATCACGAATCGCCTACTCTCCACGGATGAGGCTCAAGACGAGGCGAATATGGTGCAGTAAAGGGCTTTGAAGAAATTCACTTGTAGCGCCTCGTTCGGATCGCCGTGCCCACGGTGGCATCAGTGAACGAATGTATAAGGAAACTGCGCCGAATTAATATAAACGTGGCCATGCCGCACAGATCTTGAGGCTAGAGTGTCTGACAGCATCAAGTCACTCCACGCTGTATTCAGTCTACCCCACTCTGGATAGTCAATTGGCTAATTTCGACTCGCAAAAGTATGCTACGACCGCTTCGAAGAAGGGCGACTGCTCAGCCCGTGAACTATCAAATGCGGATGGATACATATCGTACATATCATTTATCTCTGTGACCATTGGACTGACTTTCACCTTGCGGTACAGCGTTTAGCTATTCTCTTACAAGGTCCTTCGCGAGTAGTCAAAACAAGCCATTTCCAGATATATTCTCTGATTTACAGCACTTAAACACATATGGAGACTGGATACGCTCATAGTACATCAGATACACTACACAGACCGTCACAAAGAATCATACATTTCCACGTCTCAAGATTCCAGCACCCCCTACTTCTGCTCTTAAGCCTATTCCGCGTACCTAATCCTTAGGATTGTTGTTCTCCAAGATCCAGATGATCCCAGTGTTGGGACGATAAAGAACAAGATAGGCCTGGTCGAGGCCGTGTCCATAGGCGAATGGGTAGACCCTGTCTGCAGTGGATGCAAGGTCATAACCACCTATTCCAACGCCTGGTGCACCCTGTGCATAAACGGCACTGAATGTCCCTTTCACGTTCTTCAGGATCCAGATGGTACCCGCACCAGGCTGGTAAAAGACGAGGTGGTCAAGCTTACGATTCTTGTTGTAGTCGAAAGCGAAGGCGTGATCGTTAGGGTCCAGGAGGTTGAACCCTCCGATCCCGGAGCTGGACTGAAAAACTGGGGAGAAGGTCCCAGAATCGTTCTTGAGGATCCATACGATGCCAGTGTTAGGGCGATAAAGGACAAGGTGGTCAGGTTTCCCAGAGTGGTCGTAATCAAATGCGATGACACGGTCAGCGGTCGACGCAAGGTCGTATCCACCAATGCCATTACCGGGTGCACCTTGTGCGTAAACGGGACTGAATGTGCCCTTGTCGTTCTTCAGAATCCATATGGTACCAGCACCAGGTTGATAGAAGACGAGGTGATCGAGCTTGCCGGAACGGTCGTAGTCGAAGGCGAAGGCGTGATCGTTAGGGTCCAAAAGGTTAAACCCTCCGATCCCAGAGCTGGACTGGAAAACTGGGTTGAAGGTCCCAGCATTATTCTTAAGGATCCATACGATGCCGGTGTTGGGGCGATAAAGGACAAGGTGGTCGAGTTTCCCGGAGTGGTCGTAATCGAATGCGAATACACGGTCAGCGGTCGACGCAAGGTCGTATCCACCAATGCCATTACCGGGTGCACCTTGTGCGTAAACGGGACTGAACGTCCCTTTGTCGTTCTTCAGAATCCATATGGTACCCGCACCGGGTTGGTAGAGGACAACGTGGTCCAGCGAGCCGGTATGATCATAGTCAAAGGCAAAAGAAAGGTCAGCAGGATCCAAGAGGTTAAACCCTCCGATTCCGCTGCTGGACTGGTACACTGGTTTGAAAGTGGATGGGTCGGACATGCTAGATCATATTAAAGGTCAGTTAGATGCACCCCAAAGATTAGCACCAGACACTTACTTGAGAATCTGTGCAGAATGCTGGGGACAAGAGCTGCGAACGCACTACTGTACTTATACCACTGCTGGGCGTTCGCTCAGTTTTTGTTTTTGGTAACTTCTATGCACCAGATTGTCGGAGCAGCACTGTCATCGCGTTATCATGTACAGTCCTACGCGCAACCTTGACATGTTCTGTTTAACCCATGACCCATATATTTCGAAGTCTTGATTGCGCAATGGCGTTCGAATGGCCTCGGTGAATGCGGGTAAATCAAAAGCTGTGTCGGAAGATTGGTCGGAGCGGCTCGTAGGGCGCCAATGGGTATGCTTTCGTTGATGGCGAATACTTCCATTCAAATCGATGTGAGTGCGTGTGGTATCAACATGATGGAATAACGACGTTAGGCTCATCAAAGAGGCGGCCGTTTTTCTGTGTCGTTTCTGAAAAGTTTCTGGAATGGAAACGAGAGCGGATTTTTACATTCGGTTGGAAACCACAGAATCGGCAAAAAAAACCATCTTCTTCGGTTTCACATACGAAGGAGAAGCTTGCCTAATTTCTATGCTGCCATCTCCGCCCCAGCTGATGGTACTGTATTCATGTGCGCAATATATACATTGATTTTGACTGAAGTCGCGCTGGACTCGGAGTCGATAACGTGTACGCATACAAAGTAAAAACAAAACAATCTATGCCGATTCTTATTAGAGATGAAACATATTCGGAATCGATATCAATTAGGAAACGGATGAAGAAACCGCCGTTCTGAAGTGGTTCAAAATGACATATCTATCGTTCTCTTCTATCATGATGCGTCGAGGTTCGGCTGGGTAGCCTGGGCCGGGTGTCAGCCTGTTCTTCGTGCGCTGGCGTCTTGTCCTTCTGGTATTATTGCCAATGAGGAAGCTGTTATTATCTCAGAACGTACGCTGATAATTCATACTGAAGTCCAATCCTACGCCAGCATTTTCGACTGATTTACCAATGATTTTTTCTTTTTGTTTTTTTGGCTCCTTTCATTGTCCTCGAGGGTCTGGCCCTAATGTAGACAGTAAGATACTATGAGTACATACGCTATCGCTATTCGTTCGAAATCGAAACGGAGACATTGGTTTTACCGATGTTATAATCAGATGTCTGTCCGTCTGGTTGTCCAAAAATTGTCAGTGTCTTCATATGCTCATATGCACACTTGGCAACACAGAACCAGCCCTTCGGCTTCCCTCTCACTCTAAAATAGCATACAGTGGTCAGCATTGGAAGAAGACTACCGAACCTAGAAGCTCCCCACACCGTACGCAGACACCAGACATGGAGGATTGAAGCGCAGCTATGCTCTTGCAGCCATTTGAGCCATGTTTTAGCTCCAGTCGCTTCTCGCGAAGGAGTTGATATTGTACCGAGAATTGAAGTCGCCAAGCTAGAATATGCGCTAACAAAAAGTGGGCGGTCGAGCCCTATTGAATGTGATCAGATAATTATTGAAGGGAATTTTGTGACTACGCATATGCCACGGAAATCAACGGCGACAGCTTCAGAAGTCCTCCGCTCCTTCGTCGGCGCATCATTCATCTCAAGCGTCGGAGGTTTATCCTCCTTTTTAACTGGAGCGGACGTAGATTCTGCGGGTATAGCACGTAATTCAAACGGCACAAAACGACATCCGAGTGATCATCATTGGTTCTCCGATGTCAGTACGTCCGGTCGAACCCGGTTGTTCACCAGGAGTAAGATCCCGGAAATATCAAACTACGCTAGAGCTCGTGAGTGTTCGTACTGTCAATGCATAGATTTCAGGGTCACGGACTCCAACTTGTCAACAGACCAGCTTGATGATGATAAAGTTACCGTAAAATCACAGTCACATCGCAGCGAGTGAGCAACGAAGTGGAGCGCGAGCATACATAGCTTCAAGTGCCATCATGAATGGCTTTTCGATTCAGTCTCATCCAACTTGATTTGGGCAAGTCATCCTCGGGTCTCAACGCCACATGACCTTGGCTGCATTGTCAGTACAAATTCGACACGAGCCCAGTTGTGCGGCCCAGGTGCGGACCTTACAATGCCCTAATATGAGCTCTGCCCGTGATTGTACTATCGCCTCATTTGATTGCTGTCTGTCAGTGAAGACACTCACTTCAACTATAAGACATGATGATTGTATATTGTAAGGTAGTATAAGATCGAGCACGCACGGACGCGCGTAGCGATGACAGACGAGTCAAGCATCTGTGTACTTCTTGCTTTTTACGAGTCAGGTCATGAATGTAACGTGACAAATCCAGATCCAATTGGTTTCAAGTCCGATAATTGGTCTGGAAAGGCCGGCGAGGGTGGAGAATTACATTCTTCCTCGAACGGTCATCTGGTGAGATACAGCAATGAAGGGCCACAGCTCTTCCGTGGTTCTAAGACATTGTGCTGCCTGTTAATGATGTAACGACGAAGATGAGCAATTTGCGTACTTGTCTTCTTCGTCCCACTCCCGCGGCCTAAGCACAAATCGTTGGTCGCAAGACTGATTTGAGACCTCGCTGTCGGCATAGCACATCAACAAGACTGAGGCATCGTGGAGGGACACAACGTCGTAATAGACCTTCGCCCAGTCCCCCACACCGAACTTATCAGCCGGTAATGACAGCAGATTCACTATGATTTCTGGTCTGCCCTGTCTGAAGATATCCAGCTTGCTATTGTCTCTCCAGGAAACGTTGCGACCCGAAAGCGCCGAGAATTGACCCGAGGGGTCGTGATAAAGCACCGAAAAGGTCGCCAAGCGAGAGTATGCGCCAGCAAGTAGCGAGCGATCCTTATTGAATGTCAAGAGATACCTGAGAAGCATTAACTTATTATCCTATAGGAGGCATATATCACACATACCTATTCAAAAACTCAACAGCGGCAGCTTCAAAATTCATTCCCTCCTTCATCGATGCGGTGAGCTCAAGTGTCACAGTTTCCTCCTTCTCTTCTACAGCAGGAGTGTACGCGGATTCTGTAAGCATGGTACGCGACTGAGACGACGTGTTATTGTCCGCGAAGATGTTGCGCTTCTTTGATGAGACCGTCGTCGAGCCCGTAGGTCTCGGACCTACCACGCACGCTGAAGAATTGATATCATGCCTCGAGATGTTCGACTGGGTACCCAAGAGACAGCTGCCTTCAGTTCCATTGGGGGGCGAGTCATACCCAGAAATACGTTGATTGTCCGCTACTGCCTCGTTCGGCGTGTGCTCGTATAGGTAAGGCTGCGTTAACAGGCCAGTAGATGGTCCTATTGTTGAAGTATTCGCAGCAAGCGCATTCAAATTTGGAGATATTACGGAGGATGTAGTTTGTAGGGCTCCAGGCGAACGATTCGAGCTCCATGATCCTGTTTGTTCCACTACCTGCTTTTTTACTTCAACGAATTCATAAGATAGGTCAGTGCTAGAGTGACTGGTAGATTTGACAGTAATAGCAGGAAAAGGATCAATCGTAATTTCATGGACAGCAGCATAACGAACGCACCGTCTTGAGGAGTTGCTAACAGTAGTTTTCAAGTCAATATGTTTCTCAGCCGGTGCAATGGAATCTAAGAACAATGGATCTGTCTTCGCATTCGACGCTAGACTAGAGGGCACGGGTTCTCGCGATAGTAGATTGCCCGTCTCGGGCAGAGCATCCCGCGAAATTGCCGCATACCTAATGGGCCGTTGACCAGCTGCCAAGAATGCCAATGGATCAAAGTCATTTATCGATGGATCCAGTACTGCCTGTGCACATGCAGGCCTTCTCTCAGTATCAGTTACCTTGTTCGTCATGAAATGATCTTTGATTGCACTATGTTCAGCCGTCATGATTGCAATGGTATGTGCTTGTGTAGACCACACGACAGGATCGATAGGCTCAGCGTTGTGATCCAGACCAGACGTCACAGAAGGTACGTAGCATGGCAATTCCGAGTTCTGGTTTGAATACTGTGATACAGCGCGTGTTCGAGACTTATCTCCAGTGGTAGCTTGGTTTGACGGCGTTACGTCAGCAGGAGAGCTATTGGGTGTAGCGCCTGACGACCGAGGAAGAGGGAGCGAAGTGTGCTGAGAAGACCATGAAGGCTTTGCCCTAGGCAGACCGTCAATGGACGCTGCATGGGACTGAGAAAACGGTGGAGGTTTACTCCTAGGCAGATCGGGCGTGGCAGAAGACTGAGAATACAGTCGAGGCTTATTCCTAGGTAAACCGGGCGTGGCAAGGGACTGCGACGATGGTAGAGGGAGCACCAGAGCTTCGGCGTAACCTGCGAGACGAGAATCATGAGAAGTCACATGTTCATCTGGAGTGATCGTCGACCGAGTAGCCAATGCTGGGCGAGGTGTCTGAGGTTCCATTTCGGCGGTCATCGTAATGCCTATGACATGGCTCTTGACGACGGCTGATAGTGGCACAAATTGGTTTGAGGAAAGTAAAGAATGCTGTGTGGGGACAAGATCTTCGTCGTCTACCATAACAATTTCTGAATTAGCAGAGTTATCTGGCCGAAGACTTCCGTTCTTGTCAAAAATTGCCGAGAATATGTCGGGGTGTACAGGGATATTGCTCGTCCTATCGATATCATAAGAGATTCTCTACTGGCTACACAACTCAATTTCTCACCAGTCGATCGCAATTCCATCCTCACTGGAACGTACTCAGAAGACGAATGGGAATACAGGCGATGCACAGACGCACCGCGTGAATGCTCTCCGAATCTTCACGTTATCGCTCACACGTTTCATTCTCCCAACAATATCTTTGATCCATGCGTTGCGATTCGAAGCGTAGTTGGCATTTGTTTTCTGACAATTGTCCGGAAGCGGTGCAAGACGTACTACACCTCCAGCGGTAAGCTTGGGCTCGTCAGTTATTGTTGGAGTTGGACTGCGTTCACGCTTGAGCGATGAATATTGTTTCGGCAGTTTTTCGGCAACTGGCGGAGGACTGGCCATGAGAGCAAAATCAGGAACGGATGGGTCCTCAGACTTCGGGGTAGAATGAAAGTCGTTAAGCGCAGGATCAACTAAGGCGGGGTTGGGCAAGGAAAGCTGACTTCTGTCGTCACGCGAGAGTCTTGGCCTTTTCCGCGGCAGACTGAGGTTAGTAGCTAAACGCGGACTAGACGATCTTCCTACTAAGCTACCACGACCAAACACAAGAGACGAACTCGTATCTTCTGCTAGATCAGGTAACGGCAGTCAGGGATTCTAACTTGTCGAGTAGTAGATATGGATACTACCCAACGGTACGCTTGGGAGATCATGAGAGGGTAGGGAGACTTGAGACTGTTGGCGTGAGAAGGGACTAGCACGGTCAGCATCTGATTGAGATACGCGTGGAAGCACTTCGGGCTGTGTGCGTCTAGTACTGGACATTACAGTAAGGACGAAAAGGCCAGAAATTGCAGATGCGCGAATACGAAGGACATCACACCAAACGGAATCAAAATGACTGGTTAGAACCATTGTTCGGAGAATTGCAGACAACTCACGACCGTGGTGAATGGGACTGCAAAATTGTCCGAGGCCTATCTTTCCGTCTTGTAGACTCTGCAGTCCCGATTGATTGAGCTTCGCCTCCACGAAAAGTTGGTGGTATCACAGCGGGGTGTGTCTGTAGCTGTGGGAAAACTCTACGACTGGAAGAGTTGAATTCGGAAATTGAGAGACAGGGCATGTGCAAAGATGGTTTTGACCGTTGGCCATCGGTCCTGTGTCGTGTCCACGAAATCGATGTAGAAGATGACGGTATCATGGTGGACCGTCTGCACCAGATCAAATGACAAAATATATCACTGGAATGAGTTAGAATACGAAATGACTCACGAAGGAACCCGATCCTGATGCTTTGAAGTACTCGCTGCCGTCCTCAGAGGGGCACTGCTCGAGCCACTCATACTAGTCGTTTGCGAATGCGCAGTAGGAGGAAGATGCATCTGCTTTTCACCGGAGCTACCATGCTGGTTATGAAAACGACTGGGTTTAGGTCGGCGATAGTCGTGGCTTGCTCTAACTCGGGGAGGAGGCTTTGTAGTCTTGATGAGAGGAGGCTGATCAACCCGTCTCTTGTTAATCGACTCATTTGGCTGGAAGTCCTCCGTCGCAACAGTCGTGGCTTTATTCGCCCTTAATAGCCGCCGCATGCTGATACCTCCTGATCTGCGTTTCTTCAATTTCACCGGGAATGAATAGCTGAGACGCGGACTAGACGACACTGGGTGTCTCTTAACCCGTACGTGCGCATTACTTACTCACCAATAGCTTCTCCCAGATGAAAAATGGTCGAAGACTCCCACACTGGAAATGAGAACGACAAGTATCGAGTGGCAACTGAGAAGTAGTTGATCGAGAGCAAGCACACAGGTGCGCGCCTATAATAAGTGCTACCGTAGCTAAGTTGCGGAAAGCCGGTCCCCCGCCTAAATATTGATTCCGGCTCAGTTTTGCTTAGATTCTTCTCATCTCAAAGTAACAAGCTACTGCGCAAGGATGAAGAAGAACCGATTTTTGTGATCCTTTTTCTCCGCCAGTTGGCTACACCGAACTTGGGCAGTAAGTCCGTCATGCAACACTAAGACTATCACTAGCCCTGCTGCGTCGCAGGAGCACTTGCAATCATAATCGTGCCCATTATTATAATATGCGATGTTATCCCAGTTCGGCTGGATGATGTCATTATTTCTGACGACCAGAAGAGACCGTTGTGTAGAAACTGTGGATTGGCGGACGACCTGGCTGGAGAAATAACAATCGTAGTCCTGTAAGCATATGCATATCCTTGATTTTGTACGGTGGCTACGGCAGGACCCCGAAGTTCCCGGGCACGTGGCACAATTTCCCACATGCTGCAAGTAGGCAAGCGAAACTGAAAACCGCAACACCCACCGGCATCCTCAAAATCCTCAAGGCAAGATGGTGAGTCTACTCGTTTCGCTGCATGTCAGAGGGACGACCAGCACGTACAGCTGAAGATGGGCGGTTGAACGGAACAATTTGAGACGGATCAAGGGATGGATGCACTGCACCTGGGCCAGATGGCGGAGCCCGTCCCTCTGACTTGCATCCGACGATCTACTTGCATGGAGTGCTGACGACTTTGCTTGCCTGCAGACTAAAGGTTTGTGCACGCTGAACAAGAGTCCGACGATGGTGAGGCTGACATGGTGCTGATCTGACGATACATAGGTACCACATCTTTCGGGTGCGTACGATGACTGGTGTTGGGCTTCGGAAACACTGACGGTATCTTTTCTACTTGCTGTCAACAGTAAGCGGCACACGAAGAGCCACACCCTCTGCAGACGGTGTGGAAACCGCGCCTTCCACAAGCAGCACAAGGGTAGGTGTCCGTCCCGCTTTCATCTGCTTTTTGCACTGCCCTTTCATTCTCGCTGTCTTCTCCACATCGTTCATCTCGTCTGATTCAACTGTATCAATATGCTGTAGAATGCGCGCAATGTGGCTACCCTCGTGCTAAGCTGCGGTCGTATGAATGGGGTCAGAAGGCCAAGCGCCGAAAGACGACTGGCACGGGCAGGATGCGCTACCTGAAACATGTGTCGAGGCGATTCAAGAACGGGTTCAGGTATGTCCTCACTTCCCAGTACTCTAAGCGTCCAAACAGGGGGTTCAACTTGCTACAGGGAGAACACCACCGCTGTGAAGAGGACCAAAGCGACTTCATCCGAGGCATAAAATTGTACATTGCATATCACGAATGGTGATTCCTCGCTTCGCATCTGTTATGGCCTTCATTACGTTCACGCACGAGCATGTCCTGCTGCTATCATGCACTCATAAAATACATGATTCTATGTATACCATGTCACCCTGCATGCCAATTGCAATTGGTTCGCTCGATGCTCTGACACAAATGTCCTTGATTCGCGAGTCTAGAATAAAAGGCACGGTTCCGGAAGCCAGGAACATGGCGCTGCGTGTATTTCGACGTGCCGCATGGCCGTACACCACGCGGAGAACAGTGTCGCTGCGCAAGGAGCGTGCCACGGCTATGTTTACAGGATCCGGTCGACCAATCTTCAACCCCACTCAAATTCTTCATCTTCCGGTCCTTCACCATCCGCGAGCAAATCAAACTCTACCGTATCACCGCTTCCTGCTTTGAGCAGAATGTCTCTGAGAGTTATACTGTGCCCTCCATAGTCATCGTCGTCAGTGCTAGATAGGCCCCTCTGGCCAGTCGAACTCGAGGTGTTCTCCAACGGCTCCTCTTCATGATTTGGCAGTGGCGTCTCGATTGGAGAGTCCGCGTGAATGTCGTGCTCTTCCATTTCACTGAGCCTGAGCCTGGGCAGTGGGATAGGAATAGCGCGCTCATGTCGTTCTATGTCAAAGGAGGGTCTAGCGGTGGATTTCTTTACTGTGGATAGTGGTACGCCAATTGTCATGCTTGTGCATTTCGGGGTAGCCGTGCCCTCCGACAACGATGGGGACCCATCTTCAAATGCTTCGACGATCTAAATCGATAGGAATTAGGGTGGAGTTAATATGTCAGTCCGCCACTTGCAAGTGGGCTGAAAATGTTCAATACTCACCCTATCAACTTCCTCATGTGGGTCTCGTTTCGCGAATGTCGTCGAACGACGAGTTTTAGCGGCAGACGCTCTGCGGGTTATTTTGCGCGAAATTCTGCGTGCATCTAGTGCCACAGCGTCATGTGCGCTAGGCTGCTCACCCATAGCCTTCGAATTCCCAGTATCACCAGTCACGAAGCGAGGTATGGACGACTTGACAGGAGGTCCAGCCTGTGAATGGACCGCTATCTTACTCTTCACGTCTGTCGGCTTCAACGACCGATTTTCTCTTTGCAGAGGTTTCCGTAGACAATTGACAGGAGCTACGGACTCAACTACGGGCAAGGCTTCAGGAGTTGACAAGCCTGAGGTATCCGACGGGGGTGAAGATGAAGCGAGGGTGTATGACGGGAGCTCAGAGCGTATGCGGGCGATTCGTTCTTCGAGGGCGGACTCTGATGGCGGGGCAGGCAGGGAGAAGGTCGCAAGAAATTCGGATATCGGAGCTGTCTGCGCAGACAATGCGCACAAAGGGCTTCGGTCAGTTCAACGCAATGAGATCTACTCGCATGCATACATTGAAGTTCGGTTTGTTACCGTCAGATGCCGTCCAGAGATTGAGGCCCAGGCCGCTGCTCTCTTGTGATGCATCCGCCGGCACTGGCGCCGCTTTCACCTTCCGTAACCGAATGACAGTATCTTTTCGGAGTCGCTCTGCGTAGGCTAACGCATGCTGTAGTGATTGCTGGGCGTACTTAGCAGCTTCTAGTCGCTCAGACACGGCCAGCGGGATCGCCGCCTTGTGCTTAGGGATCTGATCGTCCTCGGTTTGAATGGACGGGGGTGCACTCAATACAAAGAGCGGAGCATCGAGAGATTGTAGGTGGGTTGGATGATGAGCAGCGGTTATAGGAAGCGAGGGTATGGTCGAAGCAGATGGAATTATCTGCTGCGCCCGCCGGATCGAAAGAAATTATCAATATCGAACGGTGCCGTCGGAATCGTGTAAGATGTACCTCAGTGTCAGGTGTCACTACCAGCGTGGGCTGAGATTCGGGTGAAATTGATGATTGAGTCCCCGCAAGGATGCCCTGCAACCCGACAAGATCGATAAGAAAATGCAGAGAGCGTGGGCCGTCTTCTCCGTTCCATAGTTTACGAAGTAAATCGTTGTGTTTAGACTCTAGCAGCGCATTTAGCCGATCAGTTGAGAAATTGCTGTATCTTGATAGTATTTGTGGCTCTTGATCAGACAGTTGGGCCTAAAGAGCGGTGTGATCTAAGAAGATGAGAGACTACACGGGATTGAAGCGGGCTACAAGACATACGCGAAGTATTACGAGGTCCTGTGCGCGGCGCACAAGCACCGAAGCAGAGCGTTCCCAGGAGCGGCGCGCGGACAGTGCAATATTCAGAAACGTGATGTATGCGTTAGACTGATTACCCAAGACCTTCCGAGATTGGTGAGCTGCATGTCTTTTTTGACAGTATGTTTGAAATTCATACATATTGGCTGGACTCAGCGAGGCTGGGGCGCGATGGGGAGCCTGCCAGCTTCAGAATGGATTTGAAGAGCGCGTGCGTCGAAAGAGCCAGAATTAACCGTTCGAATCTACGTAATTGATGTCAGATATCTGCGCGTGACATCGTAGTAATATATTGTCGGCTACCCACCGCTCGCCACAGCATTCTTCTAAGAGGGACTTGCGGACCACAACGTCCTTCCACCACGATGCGGGAGGGATGGTTTGGCGCCCCTGATGCTTCTCGTTATCAGATATCTTTTTGCCCTCCGCATGACATGGATGAATGATATTGTGTCTCAAACTTTCCAGATACTTTGACAGTGATATACGAAATGCGGTCGTATCAGAAGGTTGGAGGCAAGGGTACATCGGTAGCAACTAAGACAAACTGGATCAACGTGCACCTGGAAGTGCCAAAGAGTCGCGCTTACTGATCTGGCACGTTCTCTCCCCCCTTCGACCTGGCCTACAAGGAAGTAGCAGATGTCCTCCATAGCCCTGGTTCGTTCGCGGATGCCCCCGCGCGTGGGATCGAAAAGCCGGTCGTCGTATCCAGACGCATCTTTCAGGGGATAGTTGAGAAGATGCAGATGCACCAGGATGAGCAATGAATATGGAAGAACGACGCTCATTGACCGGAGCAATTCAGCAGACGATACGAGCCCTTGCTGAGTCGCTCTGTCACGGTACACTTGAATAATCAGCCACGCGTCGCGACGCGTCCGCACGTGACCGCCGCGTTTCCGACAACAGTAAATCCACTTGATTGCCACTCGACCAGCATCAAACCCAGGCAGACTTACCTGTTCACTGCGCGGACCACTGACTCATTCGTCTGTTTCAAGTTTACCTGTTCTGCAAATATATCAAGTAAGAGTGAAAATCTGGTTTCCAAAAAGCGCTCTCTAAAATGAAAGGCGCATGACTTTTGAGTTTTGCTGCCAGGCAGTTGGTAAGTGGAGTCTATACCCAGCTCTTCGAAGCAAACTGACAATATACCCTGGTTCTTCATTGAAAGCGCCGCTCTCGTGGTTTGTGGCTCATGGTCTCGCCTGGTCTGCGCGCAAGGGTCGGCGGCCATGGTGTCTTTTCAGGCATGCTCCGCCGACATTGTCGACGTCAATTTGTGTCATCTAGACTTCTGGTAACATCTCTGTTATCTGATAATTTCTGCGAATTTGTCTCTTCGTAACGGGCGATGGCCGGCTTTGTAGCGGTTGCGACCGAGAACCTTACAGAAGATAACCTGGTTCCGGCGATACAGTGGATGTTCCCAGAGTGGTGAGAAACAAGGGCCAGCCATCTGACGTGCAGTGAGAGTCAGCGGATCCTCTCGGCTCCCGTTACAAGTTGAAGTGCAATGCTCAGCGGTTCTACTTTTGATTCTAGCTGCTAGGGTGCAACGACATTGGAATGCAGACGATATGGACGAGCTTGTACAGTTCTGTCTGAGAACGGTCGTTATTTGATTCAATGGCATCGATTATCAGCTGGCGTCTGTCTCCACTAAACGCCTTTGTCATGGAAGTTGCGATAGATTGCGGCAAGTTGATGCCTATCCGCGTAGGTATAACCCATTGTGATGTCCGTAATCTCGATATCGCTCTCAATTTAAATTGCTAAAGCTTGTCACGACGTGCAGAACCCGGTTCATTTTATCGCCATTTTCCGTCACGTTACACTCCTTAGAATCCCCTTTGGATTGTCCGCCTCCATTTCTAGGAGTCAACCAAAATCTGCCAGTCATTTTCTCTCCCAAACTTAAGCATTCTGAGCGCAATCGTTGGATGTTCCTTCCGCATGTCGTAAGGAGGGGATCACGCAAGATGGCAGGAGGATGTTTTCAGCGGTCAGATATGTTCCGTCGCTGTCCCACTTGACATATCTGCACCGCAAAGAAAGGTCTCATTCAGGCTGGACGTCACGGTGGCTTTCATTCTGGTTGGTGTGCGATATGACCCCGGCGTGATACAAGATACAAGGAGCGTCCAGGTCTTTTTAAGAAGTAGCCGTCGAGGGAAGCCCATTGCCGTACAATATGCATATCTTATCAGATGACCTGACAAGTCTGGTGGTCTGCACTACCACGTAACAGGAGTATAACAGGGTCCTCCTGCGAGTGCGTTGTCTTCCCTTCGGCAGCAAAACTTCGCATGTCTCACGCAGGATGATGCCTCGCAGTCTAATCTGAATTCTGGCGCTGATCAATCAACACAATATGAAGGCGTGGTGGTTTCTGGTCCAGCGCGACAGAGCGCTGATCCTTGGAATGCTTGCAGGCGAAGAGCATTGCTGGAGTCGTTGGAGGCACCCCGAAGTTCAGCTACAGCGCCATTGCATTGGAACGGTGATTGCGCTGAGTGCTCGAAGTTCTGCAAGTCAAAGCCTGATTAGAAAGCAGCGGCCTGGGTCATCGACGGAAGGAAGCCAGGACAGGAAAAGCGGAGCACCAGCGGAGAGATAAGATCTCAGTCACGGGTGGCTTGTGAGAAGTCACATGTGTGCCCCGGCTGCCGACATGGTTCAACCTGGGAATGCATCTTCCAAATCTCTCGCACCAAGAATGAGAGATATCGTGTATGAGGAAACGACATGAACTTGTGAGGGAGCTGAGAGACGGAACTTGAGAGTGACAGCGGTAACAATGTGACCACTCGGGGAGATAACGATTAGATAATCCAGCGTTACCGGAGTCGGGCGCTTGTGGTAATACACCTCATCTGGTTGGCCCGGGCGAGCGGCCATCGTTATCTGACGCTATATCTCACTTAGGCCCCTTAACGTTTCTTTGTTCTCCCCTCACACCTCGACATCAGGCTGTTCTGCCGTCGCCGTCCTTTGCATCGCGTCCGACGTGTCCTCCATTCCCCTCACTGTCGACGCGTTTGCTCCTGAACTCTCTCCAGCTGACGCGCTCCCTGGCGGTTCCCAGCATCCTGGCAGTCTCTCGTCGCGAGAACCATGACTGGCGGCCCCGTCATATTGGAATCACCCGTCATGAACGTGCACACTCCTGCAATGCAGTCCGTGTCTAGGATGCCATTCATCGGACACATACGCACGCCCCCCGCATCTGATCATTCCGTGCACGAGCAGGAGCAGTCTACCCCCTCGTCTCCGTCACAGGCGACATTACTGCCTCGGAACGGAAGTGAGGCCTCGTCCCCGTACCCCTTTGACCCAGCCCTCAGGGACCGCCATTTGGACAACATTGACCCTGCTCTCACTCAGAGCACCCAGGACGACAGCCCATCTCGCCAAATTTCGTGCGCTAATTGTGGTGCGGAAGTCACCCCGCTCTGGCGACGGGACGGAGTCGGCAAGACAGTATGCAATGCTTGTGGTAAGTGTTTTCTCACCTTTCCTCATCTGGTCTTTCGTCGCGCCAGATAGCGTCAGTGTGGGTGGTCATATCGAGATCCCCTTAAAACGGCACGTGTACCAAGGTTCGAAGACTAGATGCTTCTTCGGAGGTAATCATATCAGGTCCTCGCCGCTGACGCATGCCTATTGCGAGGATAACGTATAGACCATCGGGCGCGCGGCGATGGCCATGTTGAGGCCTGTCAATCGTCTTTCACTTCTATCATGTATAAACACGTTTGCTGATGCCCGTTTCCTCCTTTCCTGAACTGTTGGCCTCCCATTTCATCTTTCTTGCGATTGATGTGCCTGCACATATCGTCGTGGTGCTCTCTGCGGACATGATAATATCCCTCTGGGTACGATGCAGGCCTCTATTACAAGGCCCACGGCTCACCTCGTCCCGTAACTCTCAGACGGACATCTACCGCTCCTTCAGCCACACATCCTAACGCCAATCCCGCCACTGCGGACATCGACCCTACCAGAGGTCAATTTATTCTACAGCTACGGACCCCACCGACGCTTAGTCAGTCCTTGAGTTCTCATCCTCATCCCACGACAAATCCATCCATGCCCACACCTGCCGCGTCTCCTCATCCTTCCGGACAGAATCAACATGGTCAGTTTAAAATAGCTTCACATGGTCAGACACAAAAGCAGCCTGCGCCTCACTTTCCGGGGACATGCCCAGGTGATGGGCGTTGTGACGGTACAGGTGGCACTAGCGCGTGTTCAGGCTGTCCCACCTTCAACAATGCGCTTTCTGCGCAGACACAGCTCGGGCTTGCTGGTGGCGAGGCGACTCCATCGTTACCTACCGGTACCGGTGTTCCTTCGTCTCCCGAATTGGTTCGCAAGGAGGGTACGCCTGGAGAATTACAACAGGCCAGCGAACAGCCACCTGCAAGTACCATGCAAGGGGTAACTCCGGGCGGCAGAGGTAGGATCCGACCTGCTGTAGGCGCGTTAAGCTGTGCGAACTGTGGGACAAGCACGACACCTCTCTGGCGTCGTGATGACGTCGGGAATAACATTTGTAATGCTTGTGGTAAGTTTGTCTCTCATCTTAAAAATCTTTTTTTCGCTTCGCCCGCATGTCGTGTCTTTGGACTGGTGACACGGGATTGTCTGGTGTTTTGTTCCTATGATTTGAATGGCGCCGGCGATATCTATCTTCAGCACGTGGTCACCTGTTACTGCTTCGTCTTGTGATACGTCGTTGTATCTTATCAGATAATCCCGTTGATCTTCCCTGAAGCTTTTGGTAACGACCTGTTTGCTGTCTGGATTCTGGAACGAGACATTGGCCCACAATACTAATCCTTGCAAGGGGAGACGCTGCTCGTCAGTTGTAAAGTCGTGTTCCATGGTGTTGGGACACGACATTTACAGGATCATTTATTGCATGCGGGCGACGGGCGGAGTGCGGCTGCAGAGGGTGAGCCGTGCATTGGCGCCAGTCATTGAACCTTGACAATATCCATCTCCCATCTTTGTCTGACAATTCACGTCGCTCAAAGGTGGTTTTTATGATTTTCTCGCATCATTGACGTTCTCATGAATCAATTGCTTACTGTCATTTTTTGTTTTGCTCTTGCATCGAAAACAGGACTCTACTTCAAGCTGCACGGTACTCACCGACCGAATACCATGAAGAAGAACGTGATCAAAAGGCGCAAGCGCGTACCAGCTGCTCCTGGAGCCCCTGGTTCGCCCACACAACAGGATCGCATGACCGATCAGGCTGCAGCCGAAGTGCTTGCAAGTGTTCGTGGGCATACCGGTTCTAATTCTGGAGCTGGATCTGGTGGGACGCAGGATGAGAGTGAGGAAGATCAACCAAGGCGGAAACGGGCACGAAAGTCTCGCCCATCGAAAGGGAGAAAGGAAGGGGATGAGATGGATGTGGATTTTGAAGATGGTGTCGACGAGGACGGTAAAAGTTCCGCCACACCGCGTAGAGCAAGAAATGGTGGACACATCCACAACGCTAGCAGCCATCGTGGCAGTTCACGCGAGTCTGCCGTCCCGGGGATGGGAGCTTGGGGAGGCGAGATCATGCAAACCCATGTACTTGGAGGCGAGGTTGGGCCGTCTTCTTCTCCCCACCTTATGGATCATGTGCAGCGTGCGGGATCCCTTCCTCGCATGCAAGGTCAAGAAATCGAAAATCGGTTTGGCGCAGGTGCTCCGCGAGGAAATCCATTTGGACCAAATCCTCATGGTGGATTTGACTTGCCTCCGCTTAATGCCGCCATTCAGGGAACGATGGATGTCCCAATAGCCATGGCGATGTCATTGATAGGAATGCCTGGTGCGCATTTTCCTGTAGCGCCCCCTAGTCACATGCGCTCAGGCTCACAAGGTGTAGGTGCTACGCCCAGCCGGACGCATTCACCCCTGCCAGGACCTGGGATTTCCGCGTCTGGGACAGGTCCTGGGTATGTTTTGCCCCCTTTGGCACATGGCGTTCCACATCCGGCCACACACCCACTCATCAACCACAGTGCGCACTCTTTCTACTACCGCCATACACCTTCGCCTAACGGATCTGCAGGTATAGGAAATACTCCGGTACCTTCGATTATGGAGCTTGAACGCCATTATTATGAGCTGAGTGAGCAACGCAGGAGACTGGAGGAGATGGTCGAGAAGACGGACCGCATGATGGCTGGTGTCAAGCGAGGTCTGGACGAGATGCGCGCTGGGCAGACTTCATCGACATCGACTCCAGTTCCAGTGTCGCAGCAACCATCGCAATCACAGCTCACCCAATTGCAGCCGCAGCGATCCCAGTCTCCCCAACAGCAACAGCAGTCTGGACACGCTGCCGCCGTTCCTTTAGGGCAAAGGCGTTCAGGGAGCAAGGAGAGCGTCTGGCCCGTGGCTCCTCCAGAGTCTTCCTCGTAAGCCTATTACAAAGATGCACAAGGCATGGATTCCTCTGAAACGGCAGCTTATTATGTTGATAATACTGTAAAGCATTCTACTTCGTTTTCTGTTCTGCGCTGCATTTATTTAGTATGTGCATATGTCGGGGATAGTTATATGGTGAAAGGCGCCCCGGTGGACACCGATATTGTATGTTGCCTTGTAGTACAGCTTATGTTCGAGATGTGTTTTTTTATGCATTTCGGCGCTTGTCCATATACAGCTAAGGGCGAAAAACGTGTGTGGGGGAGATAAGATAAGAGACAGCGATGGCAGGTGAATAGCAATTTGTGACGATAGACGCAATTTCACGTGCAGAGGTGATCAGGAGGCCACAGAACGAGGCTACTGGCCTCCCCAACAACCCCACGCCCGGGCCATTTACATACTGCTCCTCGCCATGGCTCTCGACGAGGAAGAGTCCGTCCGCATCGCCGTCCGCGCCCTCGGCGACATGAGGAACGGCGGCCACGCGTCCCCGTCCACTTGTGCGTCTTGTCCCCGCCCCAGTGTCCCAACTAACTCGCCGCGATACAGCATTCCAGCCAACCCCTGCTCTGTCTGTTACCTCACGCACTTCCTCTCCCTCTCTCCCTTCTCCTTCCATCCTGGGCGAAGAGCGCATCTTGGGTGACGCCACGATCGACAGCCTCGGAGACCGACGCACGGGCGAAGATACCGACTTTGTTTCCCGAGTGTCTAATCTCCCTGTGTTCAAGCCCGCTCTGAGTCTGTATGAACAGGGAAAGGCCAGCTCGAGGCTTGTCAAGGTACGTCGCATTGTGTGTCTACTGTCGCTCGCCATATTCAGCCGATCGTTCAGTACGGCGCGGAAATGATGGAGTCATCCGTGAAGACGATTTCGCGCCCGGTCTTTGATCGCCTCCCTGTCGATCAGCTGGACGAGTTTGCCTGTAGGCAGTTGGACAGGGTGAGTGGTATTTCTGGTCCATTTTCAATGCTGTAGACATGGATTGTGTGCGTTTTTTTTGCCGGCGCCGATCGATGTTCCAATGATTAATAACGAATTCGGAAATATGAATGGCCGCTTGTTCTTACGCTGAGCACTACGTTGACTCTTCCGTCTGATGTTTGAACATCAGAGCTGGTTGGTCACATTGTTGACCCTCATGCCCATGCCTGCATTGGTGTTCCATCATTGTGACAGATAGGTCGGAATGGTTTGTGCGGGTACATACTGCACACAACATCTCCTTCTAATTCTTTTTGATCTCATTTTCGCTGTTCGCAATGCTTCAGTTCCGGCTGACCTTGTGATCAGATCGAGAATTATACCCGACGGACACCCAGCCGCGACCGAAGTTATGATCGTGGTCGTAGCAGCTCCCGAGATACTCACAATAGCACCCGTGCTAAGAGCCCCAGAGGTGTTGGAGATGTCTCACTACTTCGTGGTACTTCTCGGGGTAGGGCAGATGTAGTTCGAGATCAGCAAGAAGGCAAGTTACTATCTCTCCTGTGATAAGTTGTTATGACCGACGTCCTTTCCTGCCCAACATAGGTCCATCAAGGTCTGGCCATATGAAGACGCAGAATTCCACGCCTATCCTGCACCCTCGAATCCTTCAATCTCCTCGAGATGACACCATATCACCGTCGCGACTGCCATCACCGCGAGAACCGAATGGGTTTTCACTGACGGAAACTGACGCACAGCCCGATAACCAGCAGATAGCGCAGCGTAGTCGATGGCAAGCCATGCTACTCGAAGCTGGTGGTTTGGGTGTGGCCTTCAGTGAAGAAAGTATGCGCAGACTCAAGTACTGTCTGCAGTGGCTTCAGGTTTGGTTTTCGTATATATTTCTCCGATCATCACGCTGACCGCAATCTTGATCTCAATGAAGTATGCAACAACACATATTGACGCGCAAATCCTCGTCCTGCGTAATTTCATTGCATCTCTGCAATCTTCGCTATCATCTAACAATGATTCATCTACTTGCGTCTTGATTTCTCACCATCACCTTCGTACGCTGAATGCCGCAAAGCGGGACGTCGTCGATACCCTGCGACAGGTCGTCAACGTTGTCAGTCGGTATGCAGGCAGTGCTCTCCGTGAGCCGGCGCGCTCTCGTGTGCGGACCTTCATTCTGCGGCTTCCCCAGCGTTGGGCTGAAGCCGCTGGTGCCGATGGACTTGCTGCAGACGTCAGACCAGAGGGTGGAGTGGATAGAGTGGAGATGCGGCGCACTAATCCCGGCCCGGCGCCGTACAGTTATGGGCCTAGTGAATGCGGACCGTCACCTCGCTCGCGCGCTCCGTCTCGTACTACATCGCCAAGTCAGTCAAGGGCCCATTCGCGCCAGGCAACCGGATCCACGGTGGGCGCTGTGCCCACGACCGCCGATGCAGCCCACCAGGCTGCGCAGCGCATATTGACGTTGGCAACGGAAAGCCTGGACATGCTGCGAGGCGTTACTGCGGTGGTTTCAGAGAGCTTGGACCGAGCAGATGCGTGAGTTGGCCGTGGCCGTTAATTTCGCTTATATCAGGAGCGTTGACGCATTGATTTATTTCAGCTGGGTGGAACGGCTCCGCATTGTCGGCCTGCAGCGGCAACAGAACGGAGAGGACGTCCATGCGGACGACGGTCTGCCTGCCCCTCCCGATTTTCCAGAGCTGCCGTCCCGGATAGCGCCAGACGCGCTCCACCCGAATTTCTACAACCACCGACCGTCACAGCCGCACTCCCCCGCGTCGCCCCTTTCCCCGTTTGCGCCCCTCACCCCGATGTCGCCGAGCGCCGCTAATTCCGGACACACCACGCCGACACACACCCTGTCGCGCAACAGCTCGAGCTCGGCGCTAAGTTTGTCGCTCTCGAGCTTCTACACCGCGAGCTCGCTGGACGCAGGGAGCACGGCCGCGTCGCTGAAAGCCCTCTCGCTCTCGTCGGCCGCGGGGTCGCGCTACACGACGCCGCGCAGCAGCCTGTCGAGCCTGCCGCCCGAGGGCGAGGGTGGAGGGGGGCCGCACGCGCAGAGCCCGGGCTCGGTGGGGGGGAGCAGGGGCGCAAAAAGGCCGGCTGCGGACGCGGGGGACGACCCCACTGTGCTGGCGGCGACGGCGCTGGCAGGCATGGCGGGGTCTGTGAAGCGGGCGAAGCAGGAGAGGGATCTGGACCAGGAGGACCGGATGGAGGTGGACAAGTGATCGGCACGCTGTTGCTGCTGTTGCTGTTGCTGCCTGAATGTGGACGCGGCCGTGTGTGCACACGGCCCCATGTCGCACCGGTGGTGCTTGTTTTCGCTCTCCTCCGCTGCGGTACACGGCGTACCGCGCGGGGGGGACTGCCACTCGTGTGCGGGCCTCGATCTCTGACTTACGGTATGCGCGGACTGTTGTACACACACGATCTCAGTTGCCCGGTTGCTGCCTTGCTGTCATCTATCTATTTATGTAGCTATTGTGCTTGTCTCGTTGCTGTAGCCTATCTACGCTGCCGTACGCGTATATGTAGTCCCGAAGTATAGTTCCGGACCCTAGTGGGCCCGCTTGCCTGTAGCTGTATGTGGCAGGGCGCGGCGCAGACTTGTCGCGGGAGATGAAGAGCCCGCACCGGCGACTTTGCCTGGTGGCTCGTGCTTGGCGACTACGCGCCTGCCGACTCGATGGGTGTGGGTGTGGATCGGAGGGCGGACGGTGGGGGAAATCTGTGCGGCAATCAGCCCTGAGTGGAAGACGCCAGCAGGTCCAGGAATCTGCGCGGAACGGGGCCCGGCATCAGTGAGGAGAGACCGCCGCGCTGGTGCAGGCCAGCGAGCCGCAGGGCCGCCGCCGTAGCCGAGTGGCGGAGGGAGCCAAGCGAACCGATCGCGCGCGCGCCGTGCCAGACGGGGCACTGTCAGCGCAGCGCAGGGGTTGCTCCGCGTCCCAGATCGTGCAGCGTCCCGATTTCGTCGATGATGCTGCCCGCGAGATTGCGCGTGGCGCGCGGCCCCCCCCCATCCCCCGGGCGGCGGCGCGCGAGGGCGGGATGGGGTCGGACCGCGCTGGCTCTGCCGCGTGCACGGGCATGCACGACGGACGCGGCTAAGCTGGGGACGGGTGCAGACCCGCGCCGTCGGTGTGCACTGACTATATGCGGGCGGGCGGGCGTACAAGGCGAGTGGGGCCACCGGCGGGAGGGCGGGATCGTGTGTCGTGCAGCGTGCGAAGCGGGGAGCTGCAGCAGCCCTGGATGCACGGCGGGCGGGGACACCGGGGATGGACGACAGTCTGATCGCAGGGCGAGGGGACTGAGTGCGTGCGAGTCGGTCTGCGACGTACGTGACAGATGGGCGGTGCGGCGCACCTTGTATCGTATGTATGCTATGCTATTCTGGAGCAGGAGGGGCAGAGGGGCGCATGATAGGGCAAAGTGAGCCCGCGATGAGGGGCTGGTCGCGTCCTTGGATCTGTCACACTGGGTGGTCTTTCAGGCCTCAGGAGTCGGATTGACGATGGGGTTGGGGCAGTTCGGAATGGCGCGGGGCAGTCGCTGGGAAGAGAGTCAGAGACGGCTCGGCCAGGTGGAGCGGCGCGCGTCGGCCGCGGCCCTGGGATCGAGAGGGAGGGCAGTTACGCTCGAGAGACGTAAGAGACTACAAATGATGTCGATGCGGGCGCAGACGCTAACCGGTGTCGGTGCTGAAAATACATTTCCCCGCAGATGGGCAGCGGCTGGACGGTCGGCGGGGACGAGAGGTGGCGGAGAGAGAGAGAGAGAGACAGGCGATCTGGGATGGAAGGCGTGTGGTAGCTTGGTTCTTGCTAGCGGGTGGCCCATCTGAACGTTACGGCACGACGAACGAACGTGTGCAAGCCCGTGGTCGCGGTCGCCGACGACGGCGAGGCACTGAGGCAGATGTCGGCGAGAGCATAGGGAAGACTCGGAAGACGCGGCGTGCGGCGTGCGAGTCGGAAGACGAAGACGTGGGCGGCTGGGCTCCAGCGCTGGCATGTTTCTCGACGACCACGACGACGGCGTCCAGTCTCCTCGTCACCTTCGCGGCACCGCACGCCTCTTCCCGGCCTGCGATGCTCTCTGCCAGGTACGGACTCGGACGGCCCTGCTCTCACCTTACGTCCGTGCAGCCGGCCACCACGATGACGCTGGGCCGCCCCATCAGCCATGCAACCGCAGCGCCCGAGAGCGTCCCGTCCGTGTCCAGAACGGAACGAGCACGCGCACGGAGGGCGGGTCTGGGGTCGTGCGCACGGCGTGTGTCTAATTCGTGCTCGTGCTCGTGCTCGTGCCCGTGTCCGTGTCCATGGTCGTGCTCGTGCCCGTGCTCGTGCCTGTGCCCATGTCCGTGCTCGCGCTCAGAGGCCGCCGGGTCGTGCAGGCGCAGCGGCCGCAGACGTTCTCCCGCGACGCTCAGCGCGGCCGGGATCAGAGGACGGGTGTGCCATTCGCGTCCAGCCCGATCTCAGCTGGGAACTCCTCCCGCGGAGTTTCGTGTCCTGCCCGTTCAGGCCACTCCTCCAAGTTCCCCGATCAACCCAGCTGCATCCTCGGGTGGCGGTGACGTGATGCCCTTCATTCCGCGACCACTCAAAGCCTCCCAGTCCCCGTCTCCGTCCCCGTCCCCGTCCCCCCACCTCCACCACCATGCCCATCCACTCTGCCCTCCCCGCCGCCATCCCCGCAGAGCTCCTCATCCACATCGCACTCGACCTCGTCCTCCTCGACGCTCCCCTCGGCCCCCCTGCCCAGCTTCTCCCCCTTCTCCTCACCTGTCGCCACATCTACAACACCCTCTCGTTCCCCGCATGCTCCCAGCTCTACGCCCGCATCTTCCAGGCCCAGTTCGACTCCAGCGCCGCACGTCGTCGCATTGGCCCAAGAGCAGACGAGACCCCTGCCCTCGCCGCTCAGCTCAAAGCGCACCACATCGCCCTCAAGCGCATCCGCCACGCAAACGTCGACTCGGACTCCCTCGAGTCCGACTTTTGGATCGCCTGGACAATGTGTCTCGAGAACGACGGCAAGAACGAGGCCCACTTGCGCTGGGCCGGCCTCCACCCCTTCGTCGACCGCTTCTTGCGCACCCGTCTGTGGGAGGGACGCGAAGATTTTGGCGGCTGGCCTGCAGAGAGCACCCTCAATGCCCTCGCAGTGTGGCTCTACTGGTACACGCTCGACAAAGGTGCCCTACCCTATTTTCCTTTGTCCATCCCCCCCTTCCCCCTCTGACCCTTCTCTCTCCAGACACGCTCGCAGCACAGAGCCGCGTCCAGCGCAGCGAAATCCTCAACCTCATCCGTCCATATGTCCTCGCCGCTCCCCGCTACGCCAGCTTCTATGCTCCAGACAATCATTTTTGGTTCCCCCTCCCAGCCGATATATCTGACTCTACCGCGCACGCTCTGGTGACTCCCCACGGCTTCTATCCCATGTACCGCGACCCGGAACAGTGCCTGGAGACCATAAGGCACTACAATGAAAACATCGACATCGCGCCGCCTTTGATCGCACAAGGCGCAAAATTGCTTTACATGACCCTCAACGAGCTTCCGTTTTCCGTCCCACGCGACATTCCCATCGATCGCGAACACGCTGACCAAACGGGGCGTACGTATGTGAGCCCCACTCAGGCTGATCTCATCGAGGCCAACGCGCACACGTCCGTTAAGCTCCTTGAGCCCGGCGATTGGGACTGGAAAAATAAGCTTACGGAGGAAGAACTCCGTCTTGAGAACAAGGGTTGCTGGACTAAGGGCCTCGCCTCCAAGAGCGCAATGTGGGACTGCGACTGGAACAGGATGATATCCTGCGGCGATCCCTACTATGTCAACCCGCGCCTCAAGGTGCCCACGTACGAGTACGGCGTTCTGTCGGGCGCATGGCAGGGCCGCATGTTGGTGCGTGTCCGTCTCCCCCCCCCTGATTTATTTTTTCTGATCCGACATTCCGGCCATCCCGCAGATCCCAGACGTGAATCAGTACTGTGCGCTCATCTCCTCACAGGACATGCCTGCCACGTTGTCCGCGCACGACCCGGCCCTGTACGTGCTCCCGGTGTACATGACCCTGCGCGAGCACCACTGCATCATGCCGCAGCTCCCCGTCCGCACCGGCGGTGCCTACACGGAGGAAGATGACGACGGGATCAACAACGGCTGGTTCCCTGAGATCCAGGTCCGCGAGACCGCCGGCCGCGTGCATGTGCGTGACACGGCCCTCCGCGAAGACTCGCAGTACGAGACGTACGCGGAGGGGCGCGAGAATTCGCACGATCCGGAGACGTGCACCGCGTGCATCATGCGCGGGGAGAGCGAGGAGACGGAGCTGCGCGCGACGATCGCGGCGAACGCGGACGCGGCGCGGGGGGACGACGCCGCGATGGACGTCGAGCAGACTCGCGCAGAGGTGGACGCCGCGCTCGGCCCGGGCGTGCGCGTCGACGACCTGCTCGACGTCGAGATGGACGGCGGCGAGAGCGTGTGCTCGGACTACGTCAACAACACGTGCAGCGGCATCTGCGACATCATCATCACGGGCGAGGTGCGTCCCCCGTCCTTGTCCCCCGCCGCGGGCGATGTGCTGACCCCGGCCGTGTTTGCGCAGACGCTCCCGCGGCACGGGCAGGCGTGGAACCACTTCCGGGTGTACGGCCGCGTGCGCAGCTGGGACGGGCTCGTTGCGCTCGTGCGCGTGCCCGCGCACGTCCCGGAGCTCGGCGTGTACATCTTTCGCGGGTACGTCGTTGCAGGCAACCTCGTCGGCTCCTGGCGGTGCCGCACGGACAACATCCGCGCGATCCCCCTCGAGGGTCCGTTCGTCGTGAGCCGGGCGTGAGGCGCTGCGGGGGGCGGGTTCTGCGTGTAGGGGCATAGGGGCGGTATATACGTGAAGGGGGAAGGGGGTGCCGGACAGGATATATGTAAGTGCGAGTTGGGCGAACGCCACGCGATACCCCGGCGGCTGTGCGCGCGTTCGTGACGGTCTCTCTCGCTGTGTGCCCCGCGCATCGCATACATCTGGACGTTTATATTATACCCGTATGCGATCGCCAATGTGCTGTATTTACTCAGAGACAAGATTCCGGCGGCTGCTCGTGCCGCCAGGTCGTGCCGTTGCAGATACGGAGGGTGCGTGTGAGGGTGACTACCAGCTCGAAAGTCTCGTCTTTGACTTGGACTCTCAATCGACATCGGAGGAGCAACGCACACATTTGACGCAGGTTCTAACTTACGCCGCCATAGGTGGTCCCAGCACTTCTACACTCGAAATAGGGAGACGAACTTGTTCACGGATGCCAGACGCACCAGCAAAGAGTGAGCATCTATTATTCCGACGAAACACAGAGAAATGTCCCCCTATAATACTATGCAGCTTTGGTCGAAAACGGCCTACACAATCCGTGTATTATATGACTTGCGTCTGGATGGCATCTACATCCAAGGCATGGCTACTCATAGTTAAATATCCTCCGACCGTCCAACTCGAGAAGCACGCGGTGTCCATCCAGGCGCACCACATGGCGCAGGCAAAAGAGGACCCGGTCAGTCCTCATGGAAGCCGCCCATGGCGCGGACCGCCTCCACGAGCCGCTTGTACTCGCGCAGGAGCTCGCCGACCTCGGACACCCGGATGTCGTCCTCCGTGCACGCGAGGAAGCGCGGGTTCGGGGGCGAGATGCGGATCGCGATCGGCGACGCGGCCCTCGACGACGCCGGCGAGTCGAAGCGCGGCGCGGCGGGCCCCGCGGGCAGCAGCAGCGACGAGCGGCGCGACGAGGGCGAGCCGGGGCCCTGCTGCAGGTCAGGGGGAGCAGGGTCAGCGCGGACGCAGCGGGGCGCAGCAGGGCGTGTCTGCCTCACCTTTGCGCCGTCGTGGGACTGGTTCTGCGACAGCCGCGACAGGCCGGGCATGTTCGCCAGGCGGTCCGTGAGGCTCATGCGCCCGCTGGCCGGCCGTCGCTTGCCCTTGCGTGTCGCCCTGCTGCTCATCATGCTCTCGAAGCTGCGGATGCTCCGCGTGTCGTGCTCGTAGTCCTCTTCTTCCTCTCCCTCCTCCTCCTCGTTCGCGCTGTCGTCGGCGGACTCGTCTTCCGAAGCAGGTGCGTCTCCGTCTGCGCCGCGCATAGAGCGGCTCGACCCGGGTCTCGACGGAACCTCCACCATCTGCTGCCCTGATTCTTCGTTGGCGGTCGTCGACCGCGCACGGTTCCCCGGCAGAGACGCCGCGAGACTGGCTATCGAGAACCCAGTATCCCGCCGTAGGATACCGAACCCTGGTCGGGAAGGCTCTTCGCTCTCAGTGGCATTGGCGGGGGTACCTTGTACTTGACTTTGGCCTGGAAGGAGGGAACGGAGGACACCAAACGAGGTGTCTACGACCCCCGAAATGACCTTGTTTGCAGAGCCCGCAATAGCATCTACTTGCTGTTCTACGCGACCGCGGAGGCTGGCTTGCGTGACTTGAGGCGATGTAGGTTCGGAACCGGGTATGCGCACCGAGCGAGCGAGCGGAATCGGACTCAGCTGTGCCGCGCTGTGAGTATAGAAAATCCAGGAAGTCAGCGAGCGTTCGTTCTGCACCATGTTGCAGCGAGTGGCTCAAAGAGAAATGAAAGTAGGCGCGGGTGTGGCTTGGACCAAGCGCTCTGCATGGCCACCCTGCGAAGAGATATGCCACGCACCTTAGGACTGACTTTTCGCTCTCCCCTAGCCCAAGCGCAGCCAGATCCACGTTTTCCAGAAACTCAGCCACGGCCATCAGGTTGATCAGACAGTAGCCTTCCTCGCCTCCTCCAGCGCTCTCTCTGCGGAAGCGCTGTATGTACAGGAGGTTTGAAACAAGTCGCGGCGGGTTCGCCTTGACGACGGCGAAGATCATGAGTGGAAGGATCACATCCCCTGAGACGGGCGTTGGGGGCGTGGCATGAGGGGAAGGTGCTCGTGATGAGGATCGACTGCGTGAAGACATAGGTTTTTGTGGCGATGAATCATTTGGCGACAGTCGCGTGCGGCCGGTATCTGGCGGAGATGCAGAAGGTTCATGCAATAGCTTCTGTGCAGTGCTTTCCTCCGGAGATAGGACGATCGTTGGAGATGAAGGAATGGTCTCGGATGGCGGAACAGAGACCTGAACCTGCAAGCTAGGCTCCTCTTTCATCGTGGTATCGTGATCGCGGCGGTCATCCTCATCCTCTTCATCCTCTGTGATATTGTGACCGAATGTGGATGCACGAGGAGTTTTCTCATCCAACATCTCGTCCTCAGATCTAAGCCCAATAGGGGGCAGCTTCGATAAACCATCTATGCAAGACCAGCGGTATGAGACAAGAACAAAGGACTACAGGTCCAGATCCTTACCAACAATGATCTTATGGACCGAAACGAGCAGCGCCGCTTTGTCTGCAGGGGTACGGTGTATAGTATCGAGCTGAGCGAGGACTGGATGTACGAAGTCAGGGATAAATTGAAAAGTCAGAGCACATTGCTGTAGGATCCAGCATCCACTTACTTTGACCACATTCCATTACCACAGCCTCGACCTCCTTACTTGAGCCACCCACATCAACACCCAGATGCGACAACCCAAGGTCGAGCAGATTAACTGCGGCTATACGGCTGGACAAAGCTTCGTCGTGAGAAGCGTCATCCGAGCTTGCCAGAAGAAACAGCCTACAACGACGGGAATTTGAGTGTCAATGGTTTCTAATCCTGTGGAAGACAGGGATACTTGAGAATGTACGTACCTGTCATAGAACAAGGTACATAGTACGCGCTCAACTGCGTCCATGATCTCTCGCACCCGTGTCTCTCTTCGATGTTCCTTATCTTCTTCGCTCTCCTCATCTTTCTCATCAACGGGGTCCTCCGTCTCACCACCGCTGTCGCTATCACTGCGGATACTAGTGGCATTCTCTGAGCTCCTATTCTTCTTCCCGAAGTGGATGCCCTGCACAAAATTCTTGCGGCGCTTCCGTTCGTCTTTAGACAGACGCTCCCAGACGGTCTCCTCCATGTCTGCATAGAATTCCTGAAACTTCTCCGTTATGCTTTCAGCGCGCTCCTCCGGCAAACCAATGCTGATCGACCACTCGACGTCACCCTTCCTGTTGACCTTACCATTCATAATTTTGCTTGCTCCACTTGAGTCTGCGCCCTCTCCAGCCTTTCCTGCACTTGCGACTCTGTCTAGACTCCCAGCAGGGCCATGAGTGAGAGGGAACAATGGTTTTGCAAAGCGTTCTACGCGCTCCACAGCCCACGACGGCACACCAGCTTCCCATAATGCAGCGCGCATCTCCCCAATGATCGCATCTGAGAGTGACCGGCCAAGCGCTGTGCGATCGATGCAGGTCGCCAGAGTGTATGCTGGAATGTCTGTTACGTGTTCCGCGCTTGCTCGGTCCGTTCCTAGAGCAGAAGATCCGCCCGTTTGAGGTGATGTCGAGATGCTGGGCGCGATTGGCAGAGGCGCCGTAGATGCTGTGTTCGATGACGAGACATTGCCCTCCGGATGTAGGGATGCCGGCGGATTTGAGGGGCTTGCGGGAGGTGTACTACGGCCAAAGAAGGAAGCGAAGGGATTCGAAAGACGCGAAGCAGAGTGTGACGACCCAGACGCTACACGAGATCCAGGGCGTGGTGGAAGTGGGGGTTTGGATACAGAAGGCCTCGGAGGGAGAGGAAGTGCTGGTCCGTGCGATAGCACGGCGTAGGTGGGATATTGAGGAAGAGATAATGGGAGAGACGATGATGACGACGATGTTGGTGAGGGAGGAGCCGGTGTCGGTTGCTGTATAAGTGTATTGGGAAGAGGGGGTAATGCAGAAAATGCGGATAAGGGTGTCGTTGATGGGAGTAAGGTCTGAAATCGAGTTGAGGAAGGAGGGATGGTTGAACGGATTATCAGCGCAGTGCTTAGCATCGATCAGTATGGTAAGAGTATGGATGTAGACAATGGCTTACTCAGTAAGTGTTCCGCGCAGTCCTGAAAGTGTAACAACTTGAGAGCTACTTCTTGTAGAACTATCGCATAGCGCGATATGATCTTTGATGAACTCTGGAGTGATAGCATCATTTGCATGATGCGGCTCAATGGGCAGAAAGAGTGTCGCCTAGTAGGCCAAGTCAGATTTCTGCGCCAATTGCCAAGCATTGCATACGCACTTTGTTGCTCGACAGAACGCTCCATATATCATTCCACTCTGCCCCGTGATCTGTCTCAGTACTCAACTTCTCGAGAATGGCCCACCCAGTACTAGCAGCATCGAGACCTATGCGTTGAGCTGCCGCTTTGAGGTTCATAACCTGGAGCTTGCTGGTTGCATCTCCATGGAAAGCATTCTGCTGTTGTGAGGTGCCAATACTCGGATGCAGGGTAGTGCCAGTGGTAGCAGACGCGGGAGCGACTCTCTGTCTGGGTGTGTATGGAACATAACGTGGCGCTCCGGCATGCGTGACATCCGCAATGATAGGTGCTGGCGAACTAGGCGGTGGTGGTGAAAGTAGTGGATGTGTGGAAAGGGTCTCAAAAGAAGCTGTGCGAGGGACCGGAGAACTATGTCCAATGGACCCTGGAGGAAAGAGGCTGTCTCGCCTTGACGGCATCTGGGAAATCACACGAGCTCTGACGGAGGCATTGCAAGCTAGATCGAGGCAAACGTACCATGCTCACAAAATATATCAGTAGTCTGAGCTCGTATTCCTATGCTCACGTTCAGGTCACGGATTGCTTGGATCACTATACCTCAAGTGACTGAGATGAATGTTTATGACCTGGACCGCACTGGCTATAAAATGGCAGTCTTCAGACGTGTCACTGTGATGAATATTTCAGGAGAATGCTGAGATAAATGTAGAATATTACTTGCCTCAACCCGTGTTGCTGAAAGCTTTAGACACACAGAGATGAAGTGCATATAGCGACGAGTAATCAAAGACGCTACGAACGCGTCGTTGCTCTGCGGAAGATCATTAATAGCGCCCATATTCAATCCATCATGGATCACGTGTAAGGCGTTTCGTCAGATCTGAATCTAAGTCTGCCTCATACTTCTTAGTTACAAGTTTCCAACCTTCGTTCTACCGTAACTCACGACCTCAGGCTCATACTATATTACTTTACAGTCTAACGCGACTCGACATGCCCAATAGTGAAGTACAGCCTCTTCGTAGGCGACCCAAGCCGGCCTACAAAAATCTCAATGGTTTCATGGATCCTACCCGAATGCGCATTCAGGGACAAATGCCGACAGTGAACCTCCACGGGGACCCGTCTGGATCTAGGGAGGCTGATTTTTCTCGTGCGAAAAATGTGCGAGACGCCGTGGAGAGGCGGCGCAACGTCGAAGATGCACTGCTGCTGAAAGGCTCGTTTTTTCCAGGGTGCGCCGCCACGGGCCTTTTAATCGCACTGGTGAATTGCATCTTACGCTCAGATCGGACAGCTTAGCTGCAGCAAAGGAGTTGGTTGAATCACCTGAGACCGCAGCAGGAACGGAGCGGCGAATTCAGGAGCTACGAGTCCGACACTGGGACGAGATGCAGACGCTTCTTGATTGGCAAACACAGGATTATTTTCAAGAGGCCATGGACCGGCATGACTCGAATAATGATGATCAAAAGTCTAACTCAGATGAAGACGTTCACGCTGACAGACACTTTGAAGTCAGTTTATTCTTTCATTCGATCTCCTCCATCTGACTCGTAATCATTAGTCTTTTTATCAATCGCTGCACACAGATCCAGCTCCATTTTCATGTTTTGACGATGTGTTGTCGGCCCATCGTTATGCCCATCTGAGGACAATCAATGGTCTCCTCAACCAGCATGCTGCTCAAGCTGAAAAAGAGGACGCCGCGCGAAGGAAGAGAGACGCGCAGTTTCCTGCAGGTATTGAAGAGTATCGTGCAATCCGTAATAAGGACATACAAGTGAGTACCCATCCGCTACAGTATTCCTGCTCAATTGTTTTCAAGGACGGGCTAACTAGTTTTGTAGATCCGCATGGCACGATTTCTGATGGCTGACAGCAATACAAAGGATCGGATGATGTCTGAGTTTCAGTGGGCTTGGAGACAAGTACAGAGCTTGGTCGACGAATTTTCCAAAAACGTGCGTTTTTCTCGTAATGTTTCAGAGATTCTGGCTCGCCATCAGGCGCACCAACCCGCTCAAGGCTTAGTTCTGGTAGTAAGCGAGACCGAGATGGGCGTAACGCTAACCATACTACCTGGGTCGTTAGGAAGATTTCAAAAGAGAGGTCGAAAGTGCCATACGTCAAACTGAAGCCACTGATCCGCGACGCAAGCCCTCCACTGCATAATGGTAAAATGTCAAAGGGTCGCTTATGTATATATCCTCAGGAGGAACGGAGGTCAACAGGAATATGAAGATTTAGTTCTGAAGTTCTGAATCCTGTTAGGTAAAGATATTAACATGTCTTCGCATAAAGCCGAAAATAGGATATCAACTTTACCCAACAATCATTCAATCTTACTTCAGTGCCTTCAGCAGTCCTCAGGCTCAGGGTTCATAATGCATCCTCGCGCGCTATGTGGCGCGGCTCGCCCGCATCATTCGATGTTAATATGTAGAGTAGTCGGGAAAAATGGACACGTATTTGCAAATCACTCGTATACCATCACCTTGATCACCTTGGTTTACAAATCAGAACAATAGTTCCATGAGCTCTGCCTGTGATAGTTTGACTGTTTGAATGTCATTCCAGATTCTTGAATGCGTGATTGGAGAACTTGAAGACATCTTACGGACACCGGCATCTCAATTGAGTGCTACAGGTATGTGACGCTGCTATCTAGTCCCTTAGAAAGCCCATGAGAATCAGGTCATTGTATTTCATATGTGTGTATATAGGGTACAATGTGCCACACCTCCGCTGACATTGTGCTCCAATCAGATTCTCCGCAAAAAACATACACAGTTCATCAGCTGGACATGATCCTGATTGGGATGACACACGAGATGAGAGATATGTGTGAGAGATTTCCGACTCCCGAAGCTACAACCCGACTTACCTTTATATCTAATCATCATGCGCTTGGACATGCCGCCCGACCATCAGGGGCGTAACAATGTGGTAAGGCGTACCCCATCAGCGTGGGTATAGTATTGTCATTAGTTATCATCTGTATAGCTGTCAGATATTCTCCCAGCGAACCTTTCCCTAAGGATCACAGTGATACAATATCGTATCGGAAGATGGAGAGACTCAAGCATTGCATTTCAGAAGACTGTGGGAATGAGAGGGGTCACAGAGTGGAGTGAACAGGCTCAAACTTTGTCTACACATCTGTACAGCTAAACATATTGATGATAATGTATGCGATTGCTCACCGCGAGGCATCCGCTCCATCTCTGATAGAGTCGTAAACGATACAGAAGGGTCGGGCACCGATGGATGTAACGAACACGGAGGGAGCGGGAACGACAATGGGTAGTGCCATCAGTCTGGCCAAGTATCCCAGGCTGGATTACCTGTCAATTCAGTCGTCAGCGAGAGTGGGCCGTGTGTTCGGTACCGACCGCTCTACGTGCATAGCCAGTGGTGAGAATACGCACTGACCATGAGAAAAAGTGTAGGGAAAGCCCTGTATCATGATAGCGTTGCATATTACATCAAGTTGCATGAGGAGCGTGTTGCCGTGTCTCGCCAAGACTTCTGTCATCCAAGTCACTAGCTCGATGAAGCCGTACAGGTCCCAGAAGGCATGACTCTGCCGACCTGAGAGGAAATAGGACCGGGAGACCGTGCCCAGCAGTAGAATAAGTACAATACCATTAGGAATTTCTCAGGTAGGCGGAGGTCGGCTCCATTCATTCGAGCCGTGATTCTAGTGAATGCCGCTAGAAGGTAGTGGAATTGTTCAGCGTCCGAAGGTAACCAGCCCCATGATATTGAGTATGCTAATGCTATTAGAGGCTTTTGCGAACACCGTGCTGAGCTCGTGACAGAGTCTACCATACAGTATGGGATTAATAACACTCCAATCAAGGTCAAAAATTTCTCACCAACAATGCTGCCGAACACCTTGAGGGCGCAATAGCATGTGTGTTGCGGTAGCACCTGACGCAATCCGCTAAAGCAAGTTGGTCCAATGGGCAGCCAAAGTTGCGAAGCGACACGAAGCAGCGCGTTTGAAAGAGCGGCGGAGGTTGTTGGCAGCTGGAGGCGAAATGCCAAGCGTTCCCCCCTCCGAATCACAGCTTTAAGGGATGTTTTTCACATGCGATACAAACTGGTCTGTGAGACATTGCATAAGATACGCTGTTAGCACAGTACATTCTCATGGAAATATGCGGACGGCTGCTGAGAGTGGTTTGCAAAAGCATCACGGCTCCGAGATATTCGGCGCGTTCGCGCAGACCCGGAGTATCATGATATCCGCTTGGAGCAGACATTGGCAGGCAGATGGATACCGACTTCCAGTGCCATCTGCACAAACATATTAGCGATAGGCGACCTCTAGAAAATGAGCGTGCCGAAGCAAAACTCACCTCACCCCCCGATCCTCACCGCAATCATGCCATGTATTGAGTTCAACGTTCAGTAGTATAGCTGTCTCATTTTTCATTACATAATCCAGATAGTAATGCAAGTTGTAATTCGCTAATCTTAAGTTGAAGATGATCTATATTACGTAACCAAGCTGTGTATGCCATTGTGCAATAGTGAAGCCGCCAGGAAAGCAACCGTCGCTGAGACACCATATCCTAGCTCTTCGAGCTCAATAGTGAACAGACATGCCCATTAAGCACCTGGACGGTATGTTTTATATGCGTTCAGCGTGAATACATTGACCCGTGACTATTGTAGTCTACCTCACGGAGAGAAAACATCTGCAGACGCATCCGCTGTCGGTGCTCTCAGATTCGCGTCTAGGCATCGATGCTTCTTACTACTTGTCGCAGCTACTGGAGAATCCGCCCTCACGAGAGTCCCTTTTGGCAGCCACTGGCGGTCTTCCACTTGCCCTGACCCAGCGTATCGAGTCCGACCTGCGCGCACTCGAGAAACTTCACATTAAGCCTGTGTTTGTATTTCCTGGCCTCGTCCCGCATCGGCGTTGGAAGCAGAATCAGCACCTTATGTACGAGCACAATGATGCAGTGAGAGATAGGCGAGAGGCATGGGCGAAGTACGAAGCTGGGCAGGAAGAGGCCGCGACTAAACTTTTTGAAGGCCGAAGTAATTTGCATCAGTGGGATCTGTGGAAGATGGTATTGAGGATTTTCAGGCATCGAAACGTGGAGTTCATGGTTGCACCTTATATTGCATGGGCGCAGGTACGTTTTTCAGAGAGGTGCCTGCAACCAGAAATATTTTTAACGTTTTCGTCTATAGTTAATTTACCTCCAGAGACATCAGAAATCATACATCCACGCTGTCTTTGGGCCGACAGATACTCTTCTCTACCCCGGAGTTGACAAAGTCATCACATCCGTGGACCTTACGTCAACAAGCCCATCATTCTCCTACGTCTCCAAGCGAACCATCCTCAGTGACCTCGGTGTATCGGAAGACCAGTTCTTGGATATTGGAATCCTCGTTGGGTTCGATCACTCACCTCCCTTCCCCCCCACCGTTCACGAACAGGCCTTGAAGGCAACGGTGGACATGGTCAAGTACTATAAGTCAGGCCATGCAGCTGTGTCTGCTTTTGCTGAGCAGCCACAAGTCAGAACAATTCAGTATCCAGATCATTACGCCCGCACGCGCTCAATGATTAAATACTCATTGATACTGTCTTCTGAGGGTGCTGTCATACCCCTTCCTCTCGCCATCACGACACCTCCCCCTCATGGACATCAAAACCATCACCCTCACCATCCAACAGCTGCTGATATTCCCTCCGACTTGCATGAGATTTTCACGAACAGACTCCCAGACGAAATCTATTTTTACCTCTCGCGTGGACTATTGGGCCCACAAGCTTTGGTGTGGTTGACAACAGGGCAGATTATCGAGAATCCTCCGCTGGATAACGGCGAGACCACAGAGTATCGACGGTTCGTTAGAGAGGTTATCACGGACGGGCAGACGGGTCCACGCGCTACTGCATTGGCGTTAGTATCCAGCGTTGCACACCAATCTTGGGCGAGTAAGAAGATCAACGGATTCTTCTGGTTCGAACAGTCAAACGCGCCCCAGAAGCCAATTTCCCATACTGCACCTCAGACCACGCAGCTTGCCGAGCGCGTGGCAGGCTGGAAAGTACCATATGCGATTGTTGAGGAAGAATTGAGGAGACAAAACGTGAGTTCAGTCGCTCTACGTTTGGGACATGGAATATTCTGAACTGAATTTTGAACTACTGCCGCCGGCTATCAGTCATCCACTATTGACTTTGCGTTGTGTCTTGGTGCCACGGTATCGGACAAGCTCGCCACCCGGACGAAGGTCAAAAGCGGCCAGGCCGCGCCTTCGCTTGAGAAGAAAGATGAAATTGTGGCAAATGTCATATGGCGATTCCTGGAGTTGCGAGGGTGAGTGCATTCAAGTCTCTTCTGGAAGCCATTATCACGCGCAAGACTGACGGGAACGCGATTGAGGACACTAGTTTCCTGTTAAGCACGCACACACATTCCCCCTTGGCCCGCGCGATGCATTCAGCGATCAGGACAGCTCGTGTGAACGACAAGTTCCAGGAGCCGCTGTATCTGTTCCTTGAATTGGTCAGAGCGGGTGTCATGCACGGCAACCTGTGGTCCGGACGAGCATACAGCGGTGGGCCTAGTTTCGGTACCGGTATGTTTTTCCCACAGATCATCACAACTGTCGCAGTGTGTCCGATGGCTGAGACACTTTGCCAGACGATGAGAAGTCGTGCATGCTCTTGGTCATGCGGGTGCTGAGCATAGTACCACTTAACTTTAAGGTGCGCTTATTCTGTCGGCTGCGGTCGCTGATTGCTCATTTTTGCCTGTACGTGGCACATTTTTCGGGCGATCTCGCCTGATAATCGCGTATAGCCCCAGCCTTGGTCCGCGCCTCTGTCACGCGAATTGCTCGTGTTTAACTCGTTTGTGCGATCGCTCACACGGGCTCTGAGGACGCTATTGGAGGTGACATCTTTGAACATGCTGCTTCGCCACGATGCGACACGGCGAGAGGAGCTACTAGATATCAACCTGTCGCTTCCATTTCAATCGGAGGTAAACACGGGATTTGGGGTTCTGGCAAAGGTATACCTTGACGCGCTAACCCATATCAACAACCGCCAACGGGTGCGAGACCCCAATGCGGAAGGTGTTCGGGAAGCCAAGCAGATGGCGCTTGAAATTTGTGAGGAGACCTTCCCTGGCGTCAAGGGCCCCAAGCTTGAGGTGGAGCGAGGCTTCCGATTCTGGGATGTGGTATGTCCGCTTTCCCCGCGATATTCCAGACGACTATGTCTACTCACGATCGGTACTGCAGGCCCTGACTGCCATGAGGCAGCTGCATTCTGAAGAGCATGTCCCGCGGGACTTGATTGACCAGTTTGAAGCGGCCGAGGCGTGGCTGGCGCCGATGAGGCCCTAAAAAATTCCCAGCGGGTGGGCAACATAGCGTGGGATTGACACTTGCTTGCAGAGCCGAGCGCTGCGAGACGCCGGTGGTTCTCTTGGTTGGATCGTTTCGGGGACGGGGAAAGTGTGGCAAATCGGGGTCAATGGAGTGCGGGCCCGAGGGGAGGAGCGCGTCTATGTGCAATCTTGTTTCGTTTTTTCTGAGAAATGTTTGTTCCTGGTGATGGAACTCCGCCGACAGGCTGTCTGCAGCTGCAACGCAGGGATCGCAGAGGGCAGCAAGGGCGGTGAGAAAAAAGCGAGAGCAGGTGAGCCGCTTGACCGCATCTGGGCAGGCGAGCGCACAACACGTGAAGGAGGCACCGCGGTGCTGAGCCGAGGCAAGGCCGGATAAGGAAAATCTAAGATGGGAGTTGATCTTGATATGTCCTTGATTTCGGGTTGTCAGAGACTAATCGGATGCTATTTATTTATTGCGGATCTGGCGTCGTCGGACTGAGCTCGCTTCTTGCATGTCCCATTTTGGGTAGCGTGCTCCTGTGAGATTCTCTCAGCCTTCTCCCCTGTCTCAAACATTAAAGATGCTCCCTTTCTCTCCCAACGTCACTCCCCCTCCCTCCCCGCTCGCCCTCCCGCGCCATGTTCCAGCACTCGCCCGAGCCTCTCCCTCTCCCCCATGACGACCACCTCTTCATGTCCAAGCTCTCCACACCGGGCCCTCTCTACTTCCAGCAGCGCACTCAGGTCATCCAGCTCACCGAGGTCCCCGCACCCCCGCGAGCACAGCACCCATTCACCCTCTCCGCTAGCTCACTCGCCTCTTCGTCTTACACCTCTTCGTCTGACGAGTCCGCCGAGGAGGATTCTGACTGCTCCTCGTACTGTTCGTCGGCCCCGGAGGAGACCCCGGAGCCGCGCTCGCCCGATGATACGTATAAAACACGTCTCCATCGCATCCTTGTGTGGCGAGAAAAACTCGCCGTGTCCACGGGCACGCCACTCGCCCGTATGTCTTTGTCCCCCTGACTGCCCGTCATTATTCGTTTGCTCACGCTATGGCCCCTCCAGCCCCGCCCACCCTTCCCACCTCGGCCACACTGAAACGGAAGACCCTTGATGATGACTCGGAGTCAGACGACGATGCTGTGAGTGTCCCTCCGCCGACGCTCTCGCCCCGGCTGTCGTTTCTCACAATTCATTACGTAGGCGTCTCATTCCTCAAAGCGGTCGCGGTCGAGCTCGAGCCCAAGTGTCTATCGATCACAGACACCCCTGACGGATAGCGCGCATTCTTGCCCAGCATGCGACTCTATGTTTACCACGCGGCAAGACCTCCAGG